ATAGATATATATATAGATAGATAGATCTATATATATATATATATATATCCCCATAAATAAGTATATCTCATGTGTGTGTTTTTTTGTCTTTTCTTTTTCTGTTTGTGTGTATGTGTGTAAGGGCGTATGTGTGTGTGTGAGGGCGTATGTGTGTGTGTGTGTGTGTGTGTGCGTGTGTGCGCGTGTGTGTGTGTGTGTGTGTGTGTGTGTGTGTGTGTGTGTGTGTGTGTGTGTGTGTTTGTAGGTGTGGAGAAGCCGTAACCCCGAAAACAAAAAAAAAGGGGAGGTGGGATTTATCTATTTTCAAACCAGGACCGCCATTCACAAACTAAATCAGGATAAGAACTCAGTAAGTTAGCTGTTGTAGAGATAGTCTTTGCACTTTTTTATACTGTGTTAATTCACACATCGTTTGTGTATTCAATACCAGGCTCACATTCACTCGCCCAATGTTTATTTTATTCTTTTTTTTTCAACAATTGATACCGTCAAAACGTGTTGAGATTGAGTAACCTACTAGATCTAACTAATGTGTTGAAGCGTTGAGATCGAGTGTATGCCTATGCGCGTGTGTTGGAGTGTGGTTAGCGTAATGGAAAAGAAATGCACAAAATATTTTAGAAACAAATTAACCTCTAAGACAATAATTGTTTTTGGTGTAATTCGAACGAAGATCGGAAATCAATATTTGGATAAATTCTAGGAAAAAAAAATCAAGAAGTGCCTTTCGGAAACTTCTTGACCGTGTGATAATGGATAAGATATTGGAGTGCTCGGCACCAATTCCCTTTCAAATTAATAACACATGTTTCATTATCTAGTGGGGTACAACTGTCTGAGGAATGAACAGAGAACTCTGATGCAGGAACAGTAATTTCAACACTTTTAGAGGGACACTGCGTGATTTGTGTGTGTGTGTGTGTGTGTGTGTGTGTATGTGTGTGTGTGTGTGTGCGCGTATGTGTGTGTGTGTGTGTGTGTGTGTGTGTGTGTGTGTGTGTGTGTGTGTGTGCGCGCGTTCACGTTCAGGATGTAACATATTCCTTGCTTCTTTTGTTTCCATATAAGAGCACTGGCGTATGTAGTACACGATTTTAGGTTTACCTCCATGCGTGAGTTTGATTCGAGTGTGGAGTCTCCATCTTTCTGTTGAGAAAATTCCACAAAGTCCAAGTTTCCTGTAACTAGCAGTTTAGAAACAGTTAACGTATTTATTGGTATAAATCGTTTCTACTGGACGTAAAAAGAATAATACATGCATTATTTTATGAAATACAACAGAGTAAGATTTAACCGTACCATCTGATTGCTTCAGCGCTAAATAACCGAAAGTCATAAAAGAACAATCATTAATTAAAAAAACCCCACAATAACAAAAAACATCAAGCTGTGTATAATGTTTCTAAAAATGGTGTCGTTTTCCGTTGCATC